TATATATATATATATATATATTTGCATTAAATACAAAGCAGCTACTGTTAATTGATTTGACTTGCTTTAACCAAATGGCTGTCACCTGACCATATCACGTCGCCTTCTGTTTACATTTACTGCAGGCACGAGCCAACGCACAGAACATCACAGCAGTGTCATTTTACAATAAACGTTTATGTCATATCTTCCAGGAGTGTTGTGGTTCCAGTGAAAAAGCCACCACCTGGCAGCCTGTCAGTCAACACCGTGGGCACACCCACTACCAGTGGAGCTGCCACTGCTGGCAGCACACCCAACATTTTTGCTGCTGCAACAGCAACGCCCAAGAGCATGATCAACACTACAGGTGAGACACACATAAATGGCTTATTTATTATTTTAAAATCTGTCAGCTTCTAACTGTGGCAGAGACCAGAGACCCATTCTATCAGTAGTTGAAAAAGCGTATGTGTTACTAAAAAATTAAGTAAATAAAACCAGAAATTTAGCTTTTTCGGTAAAAACGTGGTGTGAACATTGAGTTCTAAATGATTTAGTTGTAAATTTGTTAAGGATGCTAAAAGTGAATTGCAAAAGCTAAATCAAGCAGAACAAAAGTAATTTGATCAGAACATTGGAAATCTAAAATAAACAGAACAGTAGCTGAAAGCCAAAATAAGCAGAAAAGTAAGCCACAATTAGTTTAAACAGTAGCTAAAGGCTAAAATCAACAAAAAAGTAGCTCAAACTTAAAACCAGAAATCATATGCTAAATTTGAGCAAATCTGTAGTCAAAAACTGAATTACCATGGCTAAAAAGTATAATCAAAACAGTAGCTAAAAGCTAAAATGAGCTAATAACTCAAATCTGCAAAAATCAACCTAATTCAAGCTAAAATCAGTAAAACGGTAGCTAAAAGCTAAACTTAGCTAAACATTTAAAAACGTTTACATTTCAAAGTGACGAAAACTCTTAAATGAAACAAATTGTTTTTAAAAAGTGTTAAAGTTGCAAATTGCAAAAGTCACAACAGTCTCCTAGGCAAACTATGTTTTAATACTTTAATGGTTAAAATAGCTAAAAGTTTGCTAAAGTATTTAAATACTATTCAGAGACACCTATAAACAGGAAGACACACAGTTAGAACATAAACAGAGCGCACCAGGAATTATGCTTTGTATTCCTTTAAAGATTATTGCATTTATCCTTTAAACCAATTGTAATAAAATGTTTTCTTGAATATTAAATTTTAATTTCACTTTATTTTCCAGACATTATCTCAGGACCCACAGTGAGATCTTAACCCAAGACTTTTAAAACGATATCTGACCCTAAAAACTTTGGTTCAGTTTCAACAAAACCTGTATGGAGTACTGAATAATGAATGCTGATGCACTCCGTTTCCTTTCAAAGCCTCCTACTTCCTCCCTGGGTGCTTTAATCATAGCTTCTCGTATTCAGCCTCTAAATAATTCTGTGTACACAAATAATAAACACGTTTCCTGTAAAAGGCCTACCACAACTCAAACGTTGCACTCTCAAGCACCACTGAGTTCATCTTGTCACAAAATTTTTCTTTGCTGCGCTTATCTTTTTTTTTCATTAGGAAGAGCCTATTTAAAACAAAACTGAACCTTTAAATTATCCTTTAAATTATTAGCTTGATCCTGTTCCTATAATGCACCTTTAAGAAAAGTTATTAAGATTAGATGGGACAATGAATAAAATTAAGAAATGCACATCCTCTAACCTCAGGTTTGGTTTATTTGTCAAAACAAGGTGAACAATGCAATGAATTGCTGAGGACGAGAAGAACCGTCTCGACTCGCCAAAAGAGAAACAGCAATAAGAAATGCCAAAGCATGCAGCAAAAATACAAACAACAAGGCGCCAAAGTAAAAAAGAAATACATCTACAGTGTGGTTCGGTTAGCAGTGAGGTTCTTTCAGCAGCATGGTTCTGTTCTGTTAGCGACGTGGTCTTGATAGCAGGTCTTGTTAGCAGCTCCCGCTAGCAGCTTGATGGTAATAACAACCGCAGCAGCTGCCCTCACAGACTGCCCTCCAGAACCGGATCCAGCAGACAGAGAACATCCAAGGTTTTCCCCGCGGAGCCGAACAGGTCCGTAGAGTTCGGTCTGTGCAGGCAGGTGGAGGATCATGGAGACGGCCGCCCTGACAGGCCGGAGCCTGAGCCCGAGACTGAAGGAGGAGCGGGAACTGAACTACGATGGCATGATGGCAAGGCAGCGACAGAAAACTCCACAAGTGTGTCGCAGTCATACCCCAAGCGTGGGTGTGGAGCGTAGGTGCAAGAAAAGTTAAAACAAGAACAACAGGAACAAATAAAGATTGAGTCGAAGTGACGCTCCCATCAGTGCGGCCATACTGCAGCGCTCGTGGCGTCACACTGTCATAACCTCCAAAGTTCATGTTCAATAATCCAGGTATAAAATCCAACAATGTTCAGTCAGATCATCTCGACGGTTTATTTTTTTTGCTGAGATGTTTCATTGTTTCATCCTTCATCCAAAGGACTTCCTCAATCCAAGAAGCCACCAAGCAAAACTGATTCCCACAAACAAGCATATACCTGCAGCATACATCAAACATATACCTGGATTATTGACCGTCTCAGACAAGTTGACGAGGGAGAGGGTGGGCCCCGGAGGAGATGGCGGGCCCCAAAGACCATCTTAGCACCAACCAATTGTTTTTTTTCCCACTGTGGAGTATGCTGTTTGTGGGAATCAGATTTGTTTGGTGGCTGCTCGGATTGTGGAAGTCCTTTGGATAAAGGACGAAATGTCTCAGCAAAAAAAGAAATCATCCAGATGACCTGACTGGACATTGTTGGATCTTCTAATCCGCTCAGCAGATTTATTCTAGCAAAATGGATTTGTATTCCAGTCTCTGTCAGCCTGTCACATATTTTCTCATAGTATTCATGCGTAATGGACAAGGCCAGGGTTTGTTTCCTGCTAATGGATTCTGCCTATTGATTGCAAAGCTATTTTCACATACTATAACCAGAAGAAGTGCAGCAGCATGTCCAGTAAAATGCAATCCAAATTAAATTTATTTGCAACTGATCATCAGCATTAATGTGTTTCCTGCATTATTATCCTGCAGGCTCATTGTTGCCACGCTTGACTCATGTTTCTGTAATCGTCTTACTTTTCACCCTTTTTCTTGCTGTCCCTCTGCCTTCCCCAGGTGCCACAGACTCTGCCTCCTCATCCACTTCCTCCTCTTCATCATTTGTTAACGGCGCAACTAGTAAAAATCTGCCAGCGGTGCAGACGGTGGCCCCCATGCCGGAGGACACCATGGAGAATATGAGGTGTGTCTTCTTGCCATCATACGTTTCTTCAACCACTTAGTTTTCTTTCACTCTTTTTTTTCCCCCCTCCGTTTGGATTTTTGATTTGTTAATGATTCCTTGTTGTTGTTTTTTCCACCTCATTCCAATCACATCATCTTTATCAAAGAATCCTTATAGTTCACCAACATAATCATTACTGATAGTAGCAAATGAGATGAGTTTTTGTCTGGAAGAACTGCAAGCAATCAGGGGTGCACTTATCAGGGGTTGGTAACACAGATATGAGATTAGCTGTAGTAATTGTTTGGAGAGAGCCTGAGCTATATTAAAAATCAACTACATAACCTTAAAGGTCAATATTTATTGTCATTTTGATAGTTATACTATAGAAAAAAAGAAAGACAAACATAATCTCTTTAGCTGAACCCTACAGCCAACACTGAAGTGTGTCTGATAATTGCCAAAACCATAAATTTAAGGTTTCGGTGGGTTCTATATATATCAGAAGAATAATGCAACATAAAGCCAAGTGAAGCAAAACAATCTCAGGGAGTTTGTTCAGTGTTGTTTAGACATAGATTGTGTAGATCAGCAGACATTTTGGCCTAAAATCATAGGTTTATTAATGTGGTCTGGGTTCCTGCACCTGTTTTCACATCTAAAGCAAACCTTCAAAGTGTAGCACAGCCTTCAGTGAAAACACCTGTGCTTGTCCTATTTTAGGTCAAAATGTCTGCAGTGAAATATTGTCTCAAACCTGGTCTGTATTAAACAAACAACTACAATGCAGGACAAACTGAGCCAGGTGAAAGTCTGCTCCAAAAGGAGGAGGAGGGTCCAATGCAGTCTGCCAGAGGGAATGAAAGCTCGTCTGGCTCCTCTTCTAAATACCAGCTGAGATTAATAGTCCTTCTGCCTCACTTTTTTAAGCTGTCATCCACACATACCACTGACGCATCTCACTTAATCAACGCTAAGGTACTCTTCATCACAGACGTGTTCTAATGTCCTAATGTAAAATCGACTGAAGACACCAGGGAAAAAAATCACGACTTATTAACTTGGGCTTGTTGGTCTTCATCTGTTTCAAAGAATATATAAGCAACAATGTTAGTAACATAAATCTGTGTTTTGTCTTAGCACACTGTGTCAAATAGAATATCTGCCATGTAAAGTTTTAACTAATCAGAAAAAAAGAGCTTTAAATCAGTGGTTCCCAACACTGGTCCCTGAGGAACACCATCCTGCATGTTTTAGTTGTTTCCCTACTCCAACACACCTGATTCTGTGATTTTATTACTTCTTCAAATTTGCAAATGCCTGTTAATCACCCATTTATTCAAATCAGGTGTGTCAAACCAGGGAAACAACTAAAACATGCAAAATGGTGTTCCTCAAGGACCAGTGTTTGGAACCACTGCTTTAAAGGAATAGTTCATATATTTTGAAGTGGGATTCTGTCAAAAGGTTATTGAAAAACTGTCATATGTGTTGATCGTTCTTCAAACAACCTCACTTTGGAGAAACAGAGTTTATGTTTAATCAGATAGACACGCTAACGGCTAATTAACACGGTTATGTACACAGAACTGTGGCTTTTTACAATCGTAAATGGTGGCACTACTTCTGGGGCGTAATAAAATACTATTTCTGCTGGAATATGAATCTGATGATGATGTAAATGTTCATGAAATAACATTAGCATGAACCTCAGTAACATTTTTGAGATTGTTGATTGAATTTTTGAGTCAGATCAGCTGTTAGCTCATCAAAACTCTCAGAATTATAACCTCTAGTGGTTCAACAAGCTATCCACAGCAGGTAAGATATTAACTGTTGATAACCTTTCCACAAAACTCCACTCCAAAACATTAAACTGTCTCTTTAAAAGTTGAATTTGTTTATTTAAATTTTGCAGAATTTTGTGCTGTAGCATTTTTGTCACTGTTAGCAAGTACTTGTTGGTAAGTTCACAGACATGAGTGTGTGTGCGTGTGTGTGCGTTCCTAAATCAGTGTGTGTGTGTTCTTTCTGTGTGCGGTTTGTATTTCAGTGCCTATTGTGAGGTGGCGCAGTGTGCGCTGCGCAGCGGTCAGACGCCCCCTGAGCTCAAGTCTTTTAGCTCTCTGGCAGGCTTCCAGGCAGCCCCCCGAGATGCAGGACAGTGTTTTAGGCAAGGAGATACCCGTCCTGTCCCCATGACCCCCACCCTCCCTCTGCCACGCCTCCACCACACTCTCTGCTCTGCTCAGCCACCACTGAATGTTCCCTTGATGCCATGCAACTAAAGACAGACATCTTTGCTTCAGCAAGATGACAGCATCGCTTCCATTTTAGACCAGCAGCTCATTTTTACAGCACCACATTTAAGTCTGTCTCTTATTGCATGGTTGTCTTCTCACACTAACCCAAAAGCCCAAACCAGACCCGAGTCAAACAGTCTGTTTTAACCTGGCCTGCAGCTCTTGACATTTGACTCGTCTGAAACTTGGAGCTGGTTAAAACAACTTATTTGGCAACACGAGTGACCCAGGTCTGTGTCAGAAATCATACACTTACAGGATTAGAAACTTCACAGCCGTAATGGCTACATGATTTAATCTGCTAAGCTGTAAAGTTTTACTTCACTTTCTGTTTTGTCAATTAAGAAGAAAAAAAATACTTAGGTATTTCTTTGTCTACATTGCTTTTCCCACTGTGCTTATAACTTAAAAAGTGGTGGAAAATGTGTTTTTGGTGCTGCCTTTTCAATTTATTTTCCTCTTACCAAAACAAATGGATTTATTAGTAAAAAAGGGTGAATTTTAGATTAAATTTGCAAACAGGAAATATTTCTTGTAGTGCTTATTTTAAGCCACACGAGGGTGAAAAGGAGTGCCAAAATAGCAAAGCCTTTGGAGTTCAACCAACAGTCTTATTTTAATGTTGATTTTTTTTTTTTTTTTTACAATAAATACTCCTGCAGATGTTTTGGGTTCAGTTCGTTTGCATAGCTGACCATTTGCACATAAAGCAAAGTAAACTATATCACACTAATAAAACCAGGAAATGCACAGTACTTCACGCTTGTATGTAAAGTGCACAAATAAATGTTAAAGTTAAAACAAGAAAGGTTTAGCTTGATGTACAGCTAGCACTTTAACCGGTACTTTTAGTGTAAAATTGATCATAAATTGATTTTCAAACCAGTATATTTGACTCTAAATTTTTCACCATCTGCGTTCATTTCACACCTATTTCTTTCACCAGCCTTTTTCTGCTCCTTCCTTATTCTCTCCTGTTCTTTTTTAATATGCATGTTTGTTTCTTGATCACTTCCTCATTTCCTGTCTTTTACCCTGCGCTGTATGTTCCTTCCTTTTGCCTTCACTCCATCATCTTTATCTTTCTTGCCTGTTTCCCCTGCAGTATAACCACCAAGCTGGAGCGTGCGCTGGAGAAGGTGGCCCCGCTGCTCAGAGAGATTTTTGTGGACTTCGCCCCCTTTCTGTCCAGGACTCTGCTGGGTAGCCATGGGCAGGAACTGCTCATAGAAGGTACAGGTGCTGTACACGTCTCCTTTTTCTCTAACTGGCGTCTCTCTGTGGAGTCTCCTCATTCACTGTCCCTCACTGCGGTGTTGGTGTGTCACAAGACACTGGGAAAGAGTGAACAGTGTGCGTTGCTGTGTGAGAATGAATGTCTTTGAGTCAGCTGCTTCACTCATTCGTCCACCAGGTATGGATTTTGCACCATTTTATCTCAGCTAGACAGACATGCAAATGTTTGTAGATCAGATTATGATCAGTTTCAGCTTTAATTTAGGTTGTCCTGAATGTGGTGTTCTCTGCCCACCTGCTTTGTGGCTTCCTGTTTTGTGATCCACTGTTTCAGTGTTGACTCTTCTTCTTCCTCCTCCTCCCTCCTTTCTGAATTGTTCTACTGTTTGTTCTTGTCTTTCCTGTGGCATGCCCTTTGTAAGTTTGACAATAACAGAACGTGCTAACCCTGCAGTAATTTGTTCGCCAACGTTCCTGTACCTGCTGATGATGTGTGTATTTGTTAGGCCTGTCACAATAAACAATAAATCAGTTAATCACATGATAAATGAAAATTATCTACCTCATTTTCATTTATCGACTTTATCGTTTCTTCTTGTCTCTCTCTTTCTACTGAAGACACTGGATGACAAGACTCAACTCCGGTGCTCTTCACTGACCCCTCCCTTTCTCTTTTCTCTTTAAAATCCGTTTTAATCGTCCAAAATCGCGTTTTTGGATCGTTCAACGCAGCTAAGCTGAGAAGCTAAGCTACGAACTAAGCTAACAGGCTGACCTTGGGAAAAAAACTCCGTCTTGTCAAAACTCCAAAATTCACGGTTGAAACCTGTGCCTTTGTGTAAAAAGTTGTTTTTCTTTGCAAAAAGAAGCTGAGAACTTGTTTACTGATTTTTTTTTTTTATTAAAAGCTTTGTGTGAAAAATGCTATGCTAAATAGCTCAAACCACACCGAGCATCTGCCATTTTGAGAATCAACAAAGGAAGGAGAGGCAACCCATGTCACGTCAATGGGCCTCCCTCCCATTTTTCTTAGAGACACACTGCTCGCTCCCTCACTACCCATCCTTTGGTTCAAACCATCTTATGCTGCCATCCAGTGGTAAAAAAGCTACTACACTCAAACCCCCCTCCCCCCCAACATTTCTTCTTAAATTTGACAATAATTAGTAATTATTGTCAAATTTCAAACAATAGTATCGTTTATTGCAATAATTTCTGAGACAATTAATCGCTCAGCAAAATTTGTAGTGACAGGCCTAATATTTGTGTCGGAGAGAAACGAACTGAAGCTTCTGACGGGGCTGCTGTTTGTGTCTGTGCTGCAGGTCTGGTGTGCATGAAGTCCAGCACGTCTGTGGTGGAGCTCGTGATGCTGCTCTGTTCTCAGGTTGGCAACCTATCGCCTCTCTTCAGTCTCTTTCTACAAAAAGGATGTTAAGATTAACCAAATCATACAACACACAGATGTGTGCATTGGTAGAGACACAGCAAATGGAGGCAGTTTGGGGATTTAAAAGCTTTTTTCTAATAGTATATTTAGAATCATAATCCTCGCAAGAACTTGATATTTTTGTATCATTCCTCCCTCATTTACTTGTTTTTTTAATAGAAAACAAGCAAAAAACATTTAGCATCAAATCTGTTGTGTCAGCACTCCTGCAGGGAGCTATTCTCTTGTTTTGGCTCTGCCTCTTGATTTATATCAAATGCAGAACAAGAAACAAGTCAAACAAACATCAACGGGGAATATTTTAATTTCTCACCACCGTTCAGTAGTTTTATGGTTGTAACCATTATATTAATAACAGCTAGTCTGGGGTTTGTTTGCAGCATTAAGTGAATGTTGGTCAGAGTTTACATCTCAAAGTATAATTTCATAGTTTACTCAGCTACTAGCACTCAACAAAGACCCTTTTGTGTAAATGTTAAAGTAATTTTTACTACTTTAATATTGAACATGCATATAAAACTCAGTTACTCTGAACATTAAAAGGTGACTAATGTAATGTATGAATTTTGACTTTTGTTTTCTGCTGTTGATGTATTTTTGATTGTACTAGTTGTTGGCAGTGTGTTGATGTGCGTATTGTATCCACCACAGACAGAAATGGATATTCTTAATGTATAGTCTTCACACTGCCTGTATGAGCTGTTTGGTCTAATTGTCTTAATTTTTGTCACATTTCTATTTAACTCTAAAGTTTCTGTTGACTGTCATGATTGACGACATTAAGCACAGTCAAAGATGTGGAGGTTACTCTGTCCCATGAAGTCAGCCTCTCTATTTACTGAGCGTAATGCAGATGTAATACACGTCCTCACATTATAGATTTTCTCACCAATAATAACAAAATAGCATGACACTATATTAAAAAAACTAAATTAAATAACAAAAACATTGCATATTGATGAATATAGAAGGTTCCTGGCTCATTTTTCTCACATCTTTACAGCCAGTCTGAGTTTCTATGATCAAAAGACAGGATGGCACTCACCATCACAGAGCTGCTCTCTGATGACACGGGCGACCAGTTTTCTTTCAAGTTCTGAAGTTTTTCACTTTTTTTCCTCTTGTTCCTCCTCATTTCTCCTAACAGTCGGCGTGTCTCTGCTCCATCTGTAGTGGAGCTTCCTCTGCTTTCCTGCCCAATTTGAACTCCCAGTTTTATCAGCTGCTGCTTTCATCTCCTGTCTATTTCGTCCCACCACTCCCTTTCCTTTTGTCTCCCCTCTACCGTTCTTCTGGGAGGCTGCTTGTCCGCATGTATAGTATTACCACTGACTCCAGTCTTCGTCTGCCATTAGAGGCCCTGGAGAGCAAACTCAAACCAAGGAATCGATCCTCTGGCTGGTGGGGATGTAACAAGAGATGGCCTTAAGAGCTAATGGAGCTGTGATACTTTCAGGCTCTCAGCAGCTCTGGTCTCCTGCCCAGAAGTTTCCACTCCCACATGTACAATAACAAGAAACTCTTCCTGATGCTCAGATTGATTGATTTTTACTGGCACTAAGAGGGGTTTAAATATTTTTATCCTCATGTGCTCTGATTACTACCTGTAGCGTTGATCTTAGTTTTAATTTAGTAGATTGTTTTATATATGTGGTATATATTTTAAGACAACTAAGAACAGAGCATTAGATTGTTGTTATTTTGATGTCCAACGTCGGAATCAAACTTTTGATTTAAGCAGCGCTTTAGTGGAGAATGAGCTGTACCAGTCCACGTTTCACCAATGGAACTTCTCCTCGCAGTCGTCACAATTATAGTGTGAATGTTTGTGAAGCGTTCACTCTGCTGTGATCCATTTTTCTTCCGTACATTTTTTAGCGCGTTTCTCGTCCCACAGTTTTCAAGCAATTTCAACAAATCACATATCAAAACATTCAGCTCTTTCAGGAGAAGGGTGCTATATGACTTTTGGTATTGAACGTTAGCTTTTTGAAATATTTAGCCTTTTCTGCCACTTTTTTCTCATAGAAAGTGAATTGAGCTCATTTTACATCCTTCACATCTTTAGATCTGCTTGCAACCTTTTACTGCTCCTTTCTCATTTTGTTCTGGTTCAGCTTCCTTGTGCAAATTTAAACATTTTTTCAGCTACTTTCATCAGTTTTTTTTTCAGCTGTTTTGCCCTCCTTTCAGATTCTTTCTGCTAACTACAACATTTGTGAGCTTCTTCTAACTTGTTTCTGTAATTTCAGCTTGCTATGCTCCTTTCAGCTTATTTCTGCAAGTTTCAGCTTTTTCTACTATTTCAGCTGCTATATAGCTGTTTTTATGCTAATTTAAGCTTTTTCAGCTAATTCCACATATTTTCCACACATTTAAATTTTTCCAGCCTAATTCAACAAACTTGCTCTCTCCACTTCCTTCTTGTAATTTAAGCTTCTTTGTGCTTTTTTAGCTACTTTTCAGCTGGTTTTTTTTTTTTTTTTGTTGTTGCTAATTTAAGCTTTTTTCAGATAATTTGTGTTATGTAAATATGTGTTCTTTCTGCTGTCTTCTAATTTAGGCTTGGTCTTTCATTTCAGCTACATTTCAGCCTTTTTTAAGCTAATTTCGGCTGTTTTTCAGCAAGGTCTTCTGCAATAAGCATTCACAGGTCTCTCTTTTAAATGAGTCCTCATGTGGTTCAGTGAGATGAGCCTGTATAAATAAAGGTTAAATGATGAAAATTCACTCTGCATTTTTGCAGGAAATGCAGTTCATCTAGTTAACTTTAAATATTTCTTACAGGAGTGGCAGAACTCAATTCAGAAGAATGCTGGCCTGGCCTTCATTGAGCTCATCAATGAGGGAAGGTAATTAATCACACAGAATGATTATCACTCCACTCGAATTCTTGCGATTAACTTATTAACACTAGGATTGTTACCACTGTTTTACAACTGATGTGATTAACCCCTAATGAGGGCCTTGTTAAGATAAGTGCACAGTGCTCATCTCTGAGTGTTCAGTAGGAGGTCAGATCATTAAAGTGTTAAGTTCACATCTGGCATGTCCTGATCTAATTCCACTGCCTGCAGCTGGTTGGAGTTTTAGCACAAAAATTGCATCTGTGAGGAAAGACGCCCCCGACAGTGTTCAGTGTTTACATCCAGTGTTTCGCTGAAATCACGGACAAGACTTATTACATTCCATCTTGTTGAAAAATGTGTTTTTGTTAATTTTGTTTCAATGAGCATTATTTCTCCATTTCTTGACCAGACTCTTGTGCCATGCCATGAAGGATCATATTGTTCGTGTTGCCAACGAAGCAGAGTTCATCCTGAACAGGCAGAGGGCTGAGGACGTACACAAACACGCTGAGTTTGAGGTAAGCACATGAACCATCCATCTTGTTCGTCTTAAGTAAAGTTTTTAAAGCAGCAAAATGCTTATTAGTTTTATGGATTGTAAGCAGTATTGTAAATGTTTATTTCAAATAGTACTACTAGATAGTAGTGTTATTTAATAATTAAACAACTTTTCTTGAAAGAGTGCATCTTTTTACTTTACTCTCTTTAAATAGATGTTAAACATGGAACAATTCAGTTAAAGATCATGATAAAAATAAAAACGATGGATTTTTTTAAACACTTTCTGAACCAAATATCTGCTTTTTTTTTTATATTAATTGAGCGTTGTTGAAGCTGCACCATCTGAGTTTAAATAAAGAACTGTTTTATCTCGTGTAATTCACTTCATTGTTTTGTCTATAAAACAGAACAAACACACAAAGAACCACTTATAAAAGTTCTCATTTATGTTTTTAGCTGCTCCATCACGTCTCTGACTCACTTTAGTCATTTTGTGTGTTTCAGTTGCACTTTCATACCACCCATGTTCATTCATGACAGGTGTTTATGGAGCGTTTATTAATTTAACTGACAGTTTTAAAAAGCAGGGGGATTACACTCCTCAATCGGGTAATACAGTCCACAATTTGCTAATTTAAGCCAGGGGTTCTCAAACATTTTGGGTTCAGGGACCCCCTCATAACTCTCATGTTTATGAAATAATTTTCTTCAATTCGTCTCTTTAATGCAATGGAAATATCTGTGTAACATAAATACTTAAGACCTGTTCTTTAATAGTGTTAATACAATTTTTGTACTTTTAAACATGAGGTATTTTTCATTCCAGACCCACTTAATTAAAAAAAATAATAATTTCAACTTTCAAAAATTAGTTATGAGAAAATTTACATGATCAGAAACCACTATAAAACTTGTTCACTTATTGAACATAAATGTATTGCCAATTCTTCAAATTATTACAGAAAACTTTTTACATAAAATGGAACAGAATCATAACAGTAGTAGTCATACCAAGTAACAGGGCTTAATTTGTAAACCGATGCCGGGACACACATAGCGGGTGAGGGGGTGTGGGTCTGGGGGTCCGCCCCCATAAAATTTTGAATAAAGTCGATGAGATTTCCTGCATTTTGGGGTATTTTAACAGGTTGTTAAACATTTATGTGCTTGTAATATATATATATATATATATATATATATACACTTTTTTTTATATTTCTTTTAATTAATTTATTAATTTTGGGGACCCCCAAGCACCAGCTTGCGAACCCCCTGAGGACTGGGGACCCCAGTTTAATTGATTTAACTGCTTTAAACAATACTAACATGTTCTTTTATTCCTCTCATTTCTCTGACTATCTGATGCATTTTAAATGCTAAAAATAAACTTTTAAACAGCTAAAAACCCACAATTGTTTTTTATTTGAATCTTACAAAGTTTGATCAAAATTTCAATAACCAGACTGAACAATATGGTAAAACTGCAGCCGCAGAACAACCAAACGCTGTTGGTATAATCAGTTCATGTTTGGCAGTAATGTTTGATTTCTCTTCTGCTGCATATTTAACTTCTTACTTCCCACTTCTCAGTCTAACTGCGCCCAGTATGCTGTGGACCGGAGAGAGGAGGAGAAAATGTGTGACCACCTCATCAGCGCCGCCAAGCACAGAGATCATGTGACTGCAAACCAGCTGAAGCAGAAGATCCTCAACATCCTGACCAATAAGCACGGAGCGTGGGGGACAATGTCACAGAGGTGAGCTGAGGGTGAAAACTGATACTCTGGGATGCTTTCAGACACACCGTGTCCTTTGACCAAAACATTTGCTGCTTCAGTGTTCCTCAGAAACATTTCAGGTAAAAATTGGTTAAGAAATGTGCTTTCATTTTTCAGGTGACATAAATAATTCTGTATCAAAATTTTAATAAATAAAAAGACTTGATTTGTGCACTCCTCAGTTGTATCTTGTAGAAGCAGAGAGGAATCAGATTAATTCATACTTGAATTTACCGGATTTAAATTTAGCAGGAGCTAATTCCGCTAAAGGTTTTCAAAGTTAGCGAAAACGCTAAAGTTAGCAAAAATGCTAAAGTTAGCGAAAACGCTAAAGTTAGCGAAAACGCTAAAGTTAGCGAAAACGCTAAGTTAGCGAAAACGCTAAAGTTAGCTCCGCTATTAGCAGATTAATGGATAAGCGGAACTGTGCCCACCACTGGTTACAGCTTAATCTAAAAGTTAATGGAAGCGAAAGGCTATAGCTAAAAGCTAAAATTAGCAAAATGCCAAATAAAGCTTAAAAGCATAATTTAAAAGCTAAATGTAGCAAAAGGTTACATTACTGGCTGTGGCTCAGGAAGAAAGAGCATTTGGCTGCTCAGTAGAGTTTGTGGGTTGAGCACAGATTCCCTCTTCACTTGCCAAAGTGTCCTGGGGCAAAACTCTGAACAACAAGTGATCTGTGCATCACTTTGTGAGTGTGTGTGCGTACATTGGTGAATGTGACTGGTAGTGTAAAATGGGTTTCAGTGGTCAGAAAAACTTGAGTACTATATAAATCCAGTTAATATACAGTAATTAACAGCAACAAAAAGCTATATAAAAAAGTAGCAAAAGGCTAGTTGCAAGCTAAAAGTAGGAAAACGAAAGCTAAAAACGAAAATTTGTTAATAAAAGCTAAAAGCTATTTAGCAGAAGCATAGCTTAAAACTAAAAGTAGCATAGGAAGACAAAAATAAATCATCCTGAAGCATATTTCAAAAAGAACAATGTTTTGGAAGAAAACTGAAATGAATCTTAATGCATTTTCATTGGAACAAAAACAACTCAATAATGTTACATATTTTAATGAGTATAAAAGTTACAAAAAAAGGTATAGCACCCAGTGTCCTGAATGAGCCGAGCATTTTTATATATTCATTCATTCATTCAACCTTTATTTATACAGGTTAGTCTCACTGAGACTTCAGGAGTCATTTTCAAGAGCATTGTGTCTTAAACAAACCATAGATAAGGTACATACGGCAATAAACAGCCATAAAAGGCTTGTAAAGTAAAAAAACAAATAAAAGTAGTGATCTAAAACAAAACAAAATCAAGCTACATTATGAAACAAGGTAAAATACTAAAAACAGGAACGTGTCTACATTGATTTTTGCATTGAACTTAACAATTGTTAGAGGTCAAAGTCGAGAGCTTGAGATCTTTTTGCAAGGTGTTCCAGGAAACAGGAGCAGAGTAAGAGAAGCCCCTTTTGCCACATTCAGTTCACACTGATGGGACGCTGCAGGTAATGATGTCTTGAGAGCGCACGCTGTAGCTGCACTGATGACGTGACATGTAGGAGGAGATGTATGAAGGCAGCAAACCAAGGAGTGATTTAAAGATGAAAATCTACCATGTACGAATGGCTTAAAAAGCACAAAGTATGCAGAAGTAGTTGAATTACAAAAAATATGAGCAAGAAAATAAAAAATGGTAAGTCATTTGCGTTTATGTCTACTGGTATAAATCTCAAGCTATGTACCAAAATAAACACCCTCTTAGTATGAATGCTCATGCTTGTGCACCCCCAATCATTTCTCCAGCCAGTTGCATGACTTCTGGCGCCTGGACTACTGGGAGGATGACCTGAGGAGGAGAAGAAGATTTGTGAGAAACGCCTTCGGCTCCACACACGCTGACATTTCACTCAAAACTCTGGACGAATATGGTCAGTAATGTATCGCACAGCAACAGTAGCCTCTTTTTTTTTTTTTTTACAGCCTTTCACAAATATTCTTGAAAACGTTGTCAAACAGGTACAGAAGAGGAGGAGGAAGGGCCGAAGTCCAAGAAGAATTTCCGCAGCCAGTCGGTGGTCACCCAGAACCCAGAGGCCGAGTTGATGTTGGAGGGAGACGATGACGCCGTCAGTCTGCTGCAGGAAAAAGAGATTGATAACCTTGCTGGTAAGATTCAGATTCACATAAAGACACAAAACACGACAGTCTTCATGAACATTAAGATGTTTATGACTCTTGTTTTTAGTACGTTTCCGCCCGAGACTTTTTATCTCCAAAGGCAAGTTGGACGTTTAAAAGTTTGTTGTGGAGCTGCACTAACTGCCCAGCTGATTCGCCACACTCATAAAGATTATGTGATAAATTACTAAAAACTTACTCAAATCAATCTAATGACATCTTAATGATTTTTATACCTGATTATGCCTCTAGGGTTTTACGTTTTGTGTTGTCTGTGATGCTTTTTGTCTTCTCTGCATCAAAAGCCCATCAGTGTCAAATCAGTGAGTTATTTGTAATATGTTGGTAATACATCCTGCACCCCCCCAGGCCCTGTAGTTCTTAGTACTCCAGCCCAGTTGGTAGCTCCAGTGGTGGTGGCTCGAGGCACTCTGTCCATCACTACAACTGAGATCTACTTTGAAGTTGATGAAGAAGATCCTGCCTTCAAGAAGATGGACGCTAAAGTGAGAGTAATACATTTTTTTAACATAAAGACATGCAAAAGAGACGAAAATAAGCCAGTCAGAATTCTGTTTGTATTGTTTGACTTTTTTTTCTCGTTCTCTTGTGCGTCCTCGCTCAACAGATGCTGGCTTACTCAGAGGGTTTGCACGGCAAGTGGATGTTTAGTGAGATCCGAGCTGTGTTCTCCAGACGTTACCTGCTGCAAAATACAGGACTGGAGGTCTTCATGGCCAACAGAAGTGAGTCTGGACAACTTTTATTGCAAAATAAACTTATTTGTTTTTTTTTGGGGGGGGGGTTGCCGTTTGATTGTTATGCAGCTTAAAGGGAGACTTTAATCCCTCTGCAGTTCAGAATAAAGAGCACCTCCGTTTTTGTTTTAGACACACTGACTTTAACTTATGCCCTCCCTTCTCTAGCGTCCGTGATGTTTAACTTCCCTGACCAGGCCACGGTTAAAAGGGTGGTCTACAGCCTTCCCCGGGTGGGGGTAGGAACGAGTTATGGCCTTCCACAAGCCAGGTATGTACAAGGTGTAGCCACATCAGTGTTTTCCCCAGATCAGTTCCCTTGGCGCGGCGCACGTCATATTTTATTTTTAGTCGGGGGGGTGGGGGGGGGGGTGGGGCGATGTTTAGGACGAGTCATATCTGTGTTGCTCACCTGCTAGCTTAGCTCTACGTTGCTGCATTACTACCATTTTTTTTATTTGGGGGGTGGGGGAGGAGGAGTCATGTCTGTTTTGCCCACCCGCTAGCTTAGCACTACTTTTCTACCATTTTTTATTGGGGGGAGGGGTCAATTCTGTTTTACCTGCCCCCTAGTTTAGCACTAGTTTGCTATCATTTTTTATGGGGGGGGGGGGGGGGGAGGAGAGTCAATTCTGTGTTACCTGCCCACTAGCTTAGAACTACGTTACTACCATTTTTTATTGGGGGTGGAGGAAAGAGTCACATCTTTTTTGCCCACCTGCTAGCTTAGCACTACTTTGCTATCATTTTTTATTTGGGGGAGGAGTCAATTCTATTTTACCTGCCCGCTAGTTTAGCACTACATTGCAACCATTTTGTATTGGGGGGAGGAGTCAATTCTGTGTTACCTGCCCACTAGCTTAGAACTATGTTGCTACTATTTTTTTATTGGGGGGTTGAGGGAGGAATCACGTCTGTGTTGCCCGCCCACTAGCTTAGCACTACTTTGCTGCCGGTTTCTATCGACAAGGAGGTGGGGGGAGACAGGACAGAGTCACATCTGTTTTAACTGCCCGCTAGCTTAGAGCTTCATTGCTTCTGAGTTTTTTATCCGTGGGGGGGGGGGGGGGGGGTCACATCTGTGTTTAGCCATACCTTGCTGCCGATAATTGTTGATGGAGAGGGAGCGGAGTGGTATGGTACGTCAGTAGTATTTTTGCTAGCACGTTTGTATTGCGCCTCCGCACTACATCAATCCCGACAGTTGCCGACGGGTGGGGGGTTGGTAGGCGGGGCACTCGGTTCTGTTGACGGGGCGGGTCGCCTTGTATAATGGTAGGGGAAACACTGCACATGTTCCCTCTTTGTCTTACAGGGCAAGAGAAGGATATATAATGTTTTTGTGTTTTACGTGTCAGGCGTATCTCCTTGGCGACTCCTCGTCAGCTCTTCAAGTCGTCCAACATGACACAGCGCTGGCAGAGAAGAGAGATCTCCAACTTTGAGTACCTCATGTTTCTAAACACTATTGCAGGTAAACTCATTTTACAAGCTCAAATTTTGATTAGTAACTTTATTATCTGAACTATAAAATTTTATTGACAATTCGGTACTCTGTTAATTTGGAAATAAAATCGTAAAGCGAAGTAAATAGTTTGTATTATTTGAGCTCTCTGCACTGATGTGGGTGTTTTGTTATCTTTTTATTTACTGATGACAAAATATTGATTTATTTCTGTTGTTTATTTTTGCTTTCACTTCTTCTATTGTTTGTTGTTGTAAAAATAACTCCAAAGCCATAAAGTGCAAACTCACTTTTTCCTGTCACAATGAGGCTTTGTCGCAGTATTGCATGAATGCTCACACGTTTGTACGTATTAGAGAATATTTGTACAAATAAGTGGTTTTTAGTAAATTTTTTTTTCTGGCAAATTCTTATAAATGTTGCAGCTTAATTTAGCCTCAGACGTTAGTCTCACTTATAAAATATGTTTGCATGAAGGAGCTTTAATGAAGAGTTTGCTTTAAGACCCAATGCATCTAGCGTGCATACTGTCATGATTTGCCTTGTATTTTTTATAAATCACATACGGTGTGTAACAGAAGACATGCAAATACCAAAGAATATTTCCAAATATGGTCATCTTTAGACTAGAATATTGCTTATTATCTACTTTGACATTTTTCCCTGCAGGGAGGACCTATAATGATTTGAACCAGTATCCCGTCTTCCCCTGGGTCCTGACTAATTATGATTCAGAGGAGCTCGACCTCACTCTGCCTGGCAACTTCAGAGACCTTTCCAAGGTTAAGACCAATATGGCATAACACACTTTTCAATCACCTGATTTGAATTAATGATAAAAACAAAACTAAATGCATTATTTTATGTCTGTACTTTATGAAGACTTTACAGGATATTTTTTTTTTTTTTAACATTTGAACCAACCAGATAAAGAAAAGCTGATGTACATGAATGCCTGTATACTAGACGTCCACAATCTTGGTCCTTTTGTGTCCTCTGTCCTGCATGTTTTTGCTGTTTCCCTCCTTCAGACACCTAATTAAAATAATTGAATTACCCGCTCAGAATGTTAAGTTTAGCAAAAGCCAATCATTCACTTCAGTCAGGTGTGCTGAAGCAGAGGAACATCTAAAACATGCAGGACAGTGGGCCACGATGATCGGGGTTGGGGGCCTCTGCTGTATACCACAAACTGTTTTGACAAATGTGTGATGAAGCAAACATGGGAGTTGTCTTGTCTTCTAGCCAATCGGGGCACTGAACCCCAAGCGAGCAGCGTTTTACGCTGAGCGCTACGAGACGTGGGACGATGACAGTACCCCTCCCCACCACTATACCACCTTATACTCCACAGCTCACTCAACACTGATGTGGATGGTCAGAATAGTAGGTGTCCGCTCTTAAGAACTGTAATACTCCACAGCTTTTTGCACACTTGAAAGACATTTAAGACTTGGACTGAAAATAAAAATGGTATGTTTCTGTGCCCGCAGGAGCCTTTTACCACTTTTTTTCTCAATGCGAACGATGGTAAGTTTGACCATCCAGAGAGAGCCTTCTCTGGTATCGGCCGTGCGTGGAGAAACTGCCAGAGAGACACAGCTGACGTCAAGGTAACTTCTGATGGACTAAAGAAAGAGCCATTTGAGTTAACAGTTTATTTAAAAATAAGGATTTGACCTAATATAAAAGTAGTTAGATTACATTTGTTCATGTCACACCAAATAGGAGCTGATCCCAGAGTTCTACTACCTGCCAGAGATGTTTGTCAACAGTAATGAGTATGAACTAGGTGTGCGGGATGATGGCGTTCCTGTGTGTGACGTGGAGCTTCCTGCCTGGGCCAAGAAACCTGAAGACTTTGTTCGCATCAATCGCATGGTGGGAGACTGTCGTTCCTAAAAAGTTAACAACTTTTTGTCTCTTCTTTTGAATGAAACAGAGCTTGTTGTTGACTTTTCGCTTGTTCTTTTCTCTACCCTCACCTCTTCCTCCGTCCAGGCGTTGGAGAGTGAGTTTGTGTCGTGCCAGCTCCATCAGTGGATTGATCTCATATTTGGCTACAAGCAGCGAGGTCCAGAAGCTGTCCGAGCTCTCAACGTGTTCAGCTTCTTGTCCTACGAGGGAGCGGTCAACTTAGATAATCTGGATGCTGTGCAGCGTGAGGTTGGTATCCACGGAAACGCATCACTTGTGAGAGCTGTACATCTTATTAGATTTTTTTTAAACTCTCCTCATTGGTTTCCACTGCCACAATAGTGATTTCTTCAGGATCTTACAGCATAATATTAGTGATACTAAAGACAAACACAAACCCTTTTTTACAGTACATGTTTGTGGCCTTTGCATGAATGTTTTGGGAAAATTTTGAGTTTTATTTAGTTGTATTTTTCTAGATAATCTGTAATTTTCCTTTTCTTCTTTTTTCATCATCTGTTCATCTCTAGGCGATTGAAACCCAGATCCAGGTCTGTGGTCAGGTCCCTTCCCAGCTGCTGATTGAGCCACACCCACCTCGCTCTTCTGCCATGCACCTGGTGAGAATTTGACAGATTCCGCAAAACATTTTTTTTTCTCTTTGTGCTTTCAAAGAGTCTCCATAGGGGAAAAACTAAAACAAAACTATAGATGCATTTTAATCTCAAATGCAAACTAGTGACATGAAAAACATGTTGTTACTACAAAAATGTTAGCTTTGAGTTTTTGTCGTGAACATGCATGGACTGAAATGGGTTAGTTCGGTGCACAGTTGTGTATGGTCCGATAAAGAGCCTGCTGAATGGTATCCAGTATCAAACTATGCTCTTCTGTGATATTTTATTACATACTAATGTATGTAAGTGTTTTAGCCTCTTTCTCCCTGCAACCCTGAACAGCGCGAGACCTTAGTGTCTCCACATCAGAGCCATTCATGTCAACCCAAACCTCCCAACCCTTGACCGACCAGACCAACCTCCTCCTAGTTCTCAAGCTGCCCTCAGTGTGTGTACCTGCTCTGACCCTTGCTCCCACTAATTTACCGTTTCCCCTCCCTACCTCTATCCCATCCGTTCTGTCTTTCCCTTTTACCTTCATCTTCACCCCCTCCCAACTCGAACCTTCCCCTCTCTCCCTGCTCTTTCCTCTCTGTCCTTTTCTCTTCTTTCTCTGTCTGTCTCACCAGTGTTTCCTTCCCCAGAGCCCTCTGATGTTTAAGGATCAGATGCAGCAGGACGTCATCATGGTGCTCAAGTTCCCCTCCAACTCCCCCGTCACCCACGTTGCGGCCAACACACTCCCCCACCTCAGTATACCAGCAGCCGTCACCGTCACATGTAGCCGGCTGTTTGCTGTAAACCGCTGGCACAACACAGTCGGTGAGAGCCGGAGGGCTTTTTGAATTCTTCACAAGAATCGTAAAGAAGTATTGACCTGTTCAAAACATGTCATGCTTGAAGATTTAGTGTTTATTGGATAATTTTAAGAATTACTGAACTCATAATGTGTTAATTTTATACATTTATGACCTGATTGGCATGACAGGATAGATGTAATTTATCTTGAGTATAGAGGGTCATGGGCTTATGTTTCTATTCATACTGATTGCTCTTTTAACATCATCCTTCATCAATAGTTGCACTAGAGAGTATGAGAATGTGATTGTAAGAGTACAGTTTGAGGTTTCCTCGTTAAATTATCATATCTGACACTGCAGGTCTTCGTGGAGCTCCAGGTTACTCACTGGAACAGGCTCATCATCTCCCCATTGAAATGGATCCTCTCATAGGTCAGTGCACAAATCCATATGTGTAAAATAGACCGAGTTATAATTTGTATAACCTCTACCTGAGTTTTCCAGTGCAGCCATAAAACCAGTAATCATAAACACTATCTGTATGCTTTCATTGCCAGTAAATGTTTCTGTGATTTTGTGTAGCAAACAACTCGGGAGTGAACAAGCGTCAGATCACTGACCTGGTGGACCAGAGCATCCAGATCAACACACACTGTTTTGTTGTTACTGCTGACAACCGCTACATCCTGGTCTGTGGCTTCTGGGACAAGAGCTTCAGAGTTTACTCTACTGAAACTGGTTAGTGAACCATTTTGTGAACTATGTGCAGTAGGAATCTGTGCTTGACAGTGTAGCTCAGTTTAAAACTCTGCTACAGACAAGAATATTTATACAGATTTAATTGTGTGAATGTTTATGAAGCATTCACACAATTGTGGTCCATTGTTCTTCTGTACGTTTGTACGTTTTTCAGCGTGATTCTCGTCCCGCAGTTTTCAAGCTATTTCAACAAATCATATATCAAAACATTCAGCTCTTTCAGGACAGTCTATGGCTTTTGGTATTGGTGCAGCTTTAGCTTTTTGAAATATTTAGCCTTTTCTGCCATTTTGTCCTCATAGAAAATGAATTTTCATTTTACATCCTTCAAATCTTTAAATCTGTTTACAACCATTCACATTTTGTTCTGGTTCAGCTTCTTTAAGCTTCTTTGTGCAAATTTAAACTTTTTCCCAGCTACGTTCAGCTGGTTTTTTAGCTGTTTTATGTTCCTTTCAGCTTCTTTCCACTAACTGCAACACTTTCGAGCTTCTTCTAATTTTTTTCTGCTAATTTCAGCTTGTTATGCTCCTTTCAGCTTATTTCAGCAAGCTTCAGCTTTTTCTACTATTTCAGATACTATTTAGCTGTTTGTTTTTTTTTGCTAATTTTAGCCTTTTCAGCTATTTCCACATTTTTTAACACATTTCAACTTTTTCAGCAAAAATGTGCTCTCTCCACTTCCTTTTTGTAAGTTTAGCTTCTTTCTGCCTTTTAAGATATTTTTCAGCTTCTTTTTTTTTTTGCTAATTTCAGCTTTGTTCAGATAATTTCCACTCGTGTTCATTTCTGCAAACACGTTCTTTCTGCTTTCTTTGGCTAATGTAAGCTTTTTCTACATTTTCAGCTACTTTTTCTTAGCATTTTAGCTAATTTTAGCTCTTGTCAGATAAATTCTATTTTTCTGTGGTATTTTCTGCTACTTTCAGCCTCATTAACTTCTTTCTGCTAATTTCAGTTTGTTTTGCTCCTTTCAGCTATTTTTCTGCTAGTTTCAGCTTTTTCTGCTATTTCAACTACTTTTTAGCTGTTTTGTACTGATTTTAGCTTTTTCAGCTAATTCCAATTTTTTTTAGCTTATTTCAGCTCTATCAGCTTCCTTCTGATAGTTTAAGCTTCTTTTTGTCTTTTCAGTTACTTTTCAGCTATGTTTTTGTTAATTTCCACTTTTTTTAATCTAATTTCCTAATTTTTGTTCTCATTTCTGCTTATTTAAACCTAATTCAACAAATATGTGTTGTTTCTGCTTTCTTCTGCTAACTTGGGCTTGTTCTTCCATTTCAGCTACATTTCAGCATGTTTTGAGCTAATTTTAGCTGTTTTTTCAGAAAGTTCTTTTGAAATAAACATTCACACTGTATTTTTGCAGGAAATGCAATTTCTCGAGTTTAACTTTATTGTCTCAAGAAATTGGAAAAGTATAATTTTTCAGATGTATAAAGGCGACAGCATCTTGGCTGCTGAGACGTCCATCTTGAAGCATTTTTATCCCAGATTCAGAGAAGCCGTGACCTTCAAACATATGAGGAGAGGACACACACTGACTAAGACTTTCTTCTCTTCCTGTCTAAAGGTAAGCTGACCCAGATAGTTTTTGGCCACTGGGACGTGGTGACGTGTCTGGCTCGGTCAGAGTCTTACATCGGAGGAGACTGCTACATCGTGTCAGGCTCCCGAGACGCCACTCTTCTTCTGTGGTACTGGAGTGGACGACACCACATTATAGGGGACAACCCAAACAACAGTGAGTGAATAATGTGAAAAGGTGGTTTTAGGCGTCGGTGTGTACATGAAGATACAGGTTGAGTCAAGCTGCATGATGGTGTGTTTCCCTTCAGGTGACTACCCTGCTCCCAGAGCGGTGCTGACGGGACATGACCACGAGGTGGTGTGTGTGTCTGTCTGTGCAGAGCTGGGATTAGTTATCAGTGGAGCCAAAGGTTTGCATCCGTTTTACCATTCAGAATCATTTATTTAGACAATCAGGTTTAAATATATACTACTTATACATAAACTGCTTAACAAAACCAGAGGAAAAGCATTTCTGTAAAAGCCAAATCATTTTGCTCACTGCTGCCAACGCTCTGTGTTGGGAGTAAAAATTAACTGCTACTAAACGTTGGTCTTTCTCCTCAGAGGGCCCATGCTTGGTTCACACTATCACAGGGGACTTGCTGAGGGCCCTGGAGGGTCCGGAACTGTGCCAGCGGCCCCGCCTCATCTCCGTGTCTAGCGAGGGACACTGCATCATCTATTACGAGAGAGGCCGCTTCTGTAACTTCAGCATAAATGGAAAATTGCTGGCACAAATGGAGGTCAATGACTCCACGCGGGTAAGGCTTCCAGAGTAAAAACTTGATGTGAACATGCCGTAACATTTCATCCACTAATAATCCTGAAAACTAGAGAGCCCTTTAATCTCTTGTACATGACTCTCTCTCTGTTCAGGCTATCTTGTTGAGCAGTGATGGGCAGAACTTGGTGTCGGGAGGTGATAATGGAGTTGTGGAGGTGTGGCAGGCATGTGATTTCAAACAACTTTACATTTACCCAGGCTGTGACGCTGGCATCCGCGCCATGGACCTGTCACATGATCAGAGGTACAGTACAACAGGCCAGGTGCTGCTTATTGACACAAAACATGTCTTCATTCCAGGAAGTGACAAACATGACTTTTATTTTTGAAGTGATAGTTCAAGTCTTTTCAAGTAAGATTTAAAAAAAAAGGTTGTTTGATTAATTACATCTTACTGTAAATACAGTAGTCCCTCGATTATTGCAGGGGTACAATTCAAACCCCAC